AGATAAGAGATAGACCGGACATAAACAAGACCACGTGATCATCGAACGCTGAAACATTCGGCAGGGACGTATTAAGAGTCACGCAGTACATATTTTAGATAGTAGATGCTGCTTTGCGTAACTTTGTAGTAAATTAGCACAATTCGATGTATATACGATTGGTGATGGATATAGGATCATGTGGGGGTGGGGTAAGAAATATATAATGATGTAAATATACATAAGGGTTTCAAAATGTTCGCTTCGATTTCCAGCTTCGGATGCCGCCTGATGTTTGGTGAAATACAGTCGAATATAATCTCAAAATGGCGTTTAAATTAGCCTAAATTAAAAATAATCGTATATCTCTTAAAATTGCTTTAAAATATTGATTAGTATATTTTTTGATTTCTAGGTAAATATGTAACCAAATTAAAACGTTCAAAACGTAAAAAAATGTGCATGGTTGAACATTGTCAGAAAGTAGATTCTTGAATAGGTTTTGCCAAAATGGGTTCAAAAATGTCAATAATTAATTAAAAAATACAGTAGCTTTATAATTACTTATAACTTACCGAATTTGATGAACGACATCTTTTATTGGAAAGATGAGCTTGATGAGCTTTCATCGTCGCTACTGCCTGAACCACCAACGTCAATAATGAATGGATCGACTTGTTCCTCTAAAATATTGTCCAGTTCCCACATTCTCTTTTCAACTTTGTCTTTCACGTGCTTAATACAGTTTTCCCATTTTTGCGCTGTTATCAATTCTAGTGCTTCTTTGAAAAGTCCTTTGAGGTCACAAAATTTAAAAGTTGTATTGTGCTTAGCTATATAATTTTTAACCTCTGCCCATATGAGCTCAATGGGATTGAGCTCCCAATGGTATGGAGGTAAACGGAGCACAGTTTTATTTTGACTTGCTGCCATTTCGTCAATGGCGTATTTTTGATATTCCGCCTTGTGATCCTTGACAATTCTTAATAATTATACTTTCAGCATTGCTTCTTCAAAGTTGATATTTTTCGAGCGGAGCCAATTTTGAACATCAACTTTCCTTGAAGCCGTTGTTGGCACCTTCTCCATTCTTCGAGAATGATAAGGCGCATTATCCAACACAATTACTGCGTTTTCCTCGGTAAAATTTTTGAAAACCACTGTTCAAACGATTCGCCATTCATTTCCTCGTGGTAATCTCCAGTTTTCTTAGACTCAAAGCACCACAGACCGTCAACAAGAAATCCATCCTCACTGCCAATATGGCAGATAATGAGCCTTTTCCCTTTACCTGGAAATCGAAGTACTAACTGGTGTAGATTTATTTCAATAAGCGAAACTTTTTCAAATGTTTTCATCACATTCAGCGAAAAGACATTGAGACATGAGTATCAGATTGTTATAATTGGGATTATTTAGTCATATTGAAAGAAAGAATATTGAACGTCGTATGATTACTCAGCGCTTCACAATTTAATTTAAAGTTATAAACCTTTAAAAAATGAATGATCAGGAACCTGAAATACGCGCAAATATTAATGTTAACAAATTATAACTTTATAAAGCTTAAAGTATGAATTAAAATGATTAGAAATATTAGGAACGGTACACAATATAAAACTTAGTAACTTTTTTTTAAGTTTATAATATTCGACATATTTTAAGATTATATTAAAAAGTTATTGAAATATCGAAAACACATAAAAACATGGCTTAAAAAAGTTCTAACAAATGAAAATGACAATAAAACATCCACGCATTTTATCGAAAGTTATAAAAGTTTTGTTACTTGTAATATGTTTTATCTGCCCCCTGGAATTAATGTTTAGAACCTTGTTCCCAAGGTTTGAAAAACATCCGATTGTTGTCTATTACTCGTATTTACCTGCTGGATTTTTTAATCCGGTGGACAGTCCATCTAGAAAGGCCCTCCTGGATGAAGTTACAGAATCATCAACCCATACTTTACTTGTAGTGTGTCCTGCGTTTACCCACGTTTCATCAAGGTAATAAATCTTCCTGTTTTGATTTCTATATTTCCCAATTTTTGTTAAATAATCCCTCCTCCATAGCACAATTTCTTCTCTATCCAGTAGTAAACTATTACGACCCCGTTTTTTCCATTTGATATTTAAATGCTTCAGTAACGCATGGAAAGTTGATCGTTTGAAATTTAGCAACGTTGTATCTCCATTTACCTCCTGCAGTACTTTATCTATAGTAGGTATTTCATTCCTAAAGAAGAATTCATGCACTTTCCTCCTAATCGCATGCTTATCAGCTTCATCCAATGATTTAACAATACTTTTGCGATGTTTACTGGTCATTGGCTCAGAAAAGGTGTGATTTTTTTTGTATTGTCTTAACACATTAAACAGTGATGCGCGACACACCCCAACTTTGTGAGAAACCTTCACAACAATTTCTTTGATGGTTGATGCCTCGTTCTCCTCGCGCTCGATCTTATATATATTCAAAATGACCTCTTTCATTTCTGCACTCAGGTGTCTTTTTTTAGAGCGTTTCCTAGGTGGACTACAGGAGTTTACAACTTCATCGGCAGTATCTGTACTACTGGGCATTTTGCGCAAGCAGCTGATAACAATAACAATCAATAACAAAGTATAACAATAACAACGACAAACTCAACAACTTAATAAGATAACAAACGAAAACGTCCAAAGAAATATCAAATTGCAATGATGCACACGACATACGTAACACGACTGAACCTGAATGTGACTCTGCCTTGATACGACTGCTCTGCCGCTCGGCATAGGCATTTAATTGCGAATTGACCAATGAGGGCTCCTGTTTTACGTCGAGACGGCGGCGTTAGCGTGAAAATCACCCGAACCTTTTGTTTACATCCTGTCTATCTCTTATCTGAATATACAGTATCTATATTTACTTTGATGTTCTCTGTAAGTTTTCGTTGCCTGTTTACTAATGCCTTTTTACTTGTAATCAGCATTTACCAAAAAATAACAATGTAATACGGTATCTCTGTCCAACCAACTCAGCTGGCAGACATATTTTCTTCCATACTGCAAAGCAGTGATCCACTGTCGATCCTGCAGAGTCAGTGGTTTTGTACACAACCTTAAAACGAGGCTACCAGTTGCTGGGCTGTTGCTTCAGTGAGAATGCAACGGAATCTTGATCGAAAGTGGAAATCGAGTTGATGTCTAGTTGCCGTTGCGTTGATTTTGGTGAGAACGGTGCCTTCAGTTACTTTGACTCAGTCAGACTTACAATATCGAATATGATATATTTTAGTAAATTAATCAGGAAAACAGAGCTTCTACACATACCATAAATTGCTTTTTTTGCTACTATCTTTCTGGATGCAACTATGTGCTATTTTTTACATAAATGATTGAGTCATCCGACTGAAAGGTCAGGATAGAAATAAAACAGAAGCGAAACGGCATCTTAATTAAATTAAAGGTTCCGCACAAGTTGTTTCGCCTCTGACCTTCATCCGTCGCCAGCCTCATTGAATCTTTGTCCTGGCAAAGGACATCGTCGACCAAATGCATTCAACTTTGATGACGAAGGCCCACATGTTTCATGCCCAAGAAAAATAAAACTTTCTTACGATCAGTCGGGGTGAGCTCCTCAGCAAATTAGTTTGCTTTCTGTGTGTCGCTCGAGTTGCGGTTCGATGGGATTCCTTCTTTCCTTCTTCGAGACTCTGCCGCACTTTATAGTAGAGCGAAGTTTTAGTATGTCCTACTGCGCTGCTGACTTTCTTTTATTTCGCCGCAAGTATTTCTATTAGCAGGAGTAAAAGATTGTGCAAGGCAGGGTAGGCGGTTAGTTGTTTTTCCGACATAAAAGGTTCTTAAGAGGTTAACACTTAGCATTTCGGAGTAAAAAATATAAAGCGGCATAGGCAGAATGCTCGTTTTTTCCAATATTCTCCATTGTTATTTAGTATAAAGCATTGATTCCCAAAGTGGTCTATATCGACCCCTAGGGGTCTATGACAACCTGCAAGGGGTCTACGTCAGCGAAAAAAAATTTGGGGGTCCATGAAATGAATATGGGGGTCCACGATAGTGGATCTCAACACATACACTGATAGTACCTATTTACTTACATCATACTATCTTATAATATCAAAACATATAAATTATTTATAAAAGTACCTATGAAGTAAAAAATTTCTTATATATGTTTATAAAATTGTGTAAGTTGTAGGATGTTGGTATTCGCTTTGTGGTCGCAATACATTTTGAACTTGTAAAAACCTGAGAGTCGCAGTCTCAGAGCTTAGCTACCTCGCACTGACTTGTTCAATTCGTCACTCTATAAATACGAATGTGGGACAAATACGTTCATTCGTTTCCTGAATCTTGAAAAGGAAAGTGCTAAGAAAATATTTTAAAAAATATGAACAGATAGTATATCACACAAATTATATTGAGTCAGTGGTATTTTGTTGAGAGTGCTGGAAAAAAGTAAGTACATTATTTTTCATTAAATTTTAGTTTTGTACTCGTAGTTAGCAAAGATAGATAAATTACGCCAATCATGACTTTAGTTATTAGTAGTTAAATATTCAATCATGCAAAATTACACGAGTACTCCTCAATAGTTTCTTCTTGAAAGTTTTAGCAATCGGTAATATAATTACAGTGCAATCTCCGTAATTCGAGCTAATTGTAGCAAGAAGATGTTCGAATTATGGAATGTTTTCGGAAAAATAAAAAAATATTTTTAATATACAGCTGCTGGATTTTCTCTCTTATTTAAATAATTTAATTTTGCCCACAGATGACTGATGCCATGTCCGAATCTAAAAAGAAATGTAGACAGTACAGTGTTGATTATTTGGAATTTGGCTTCATTCCATCATTGCCGGACAAACAATCGCCTATGTGCCTTTTATGCAATAAAGTTTTGGGCTATGAAACCATCTAAACTGTAAGATCATCTGAGAAGATGCCACCCTGATAAAACAGGGAAAGATTTGGAATACTTTCAAACACTCAAAGATAAATTTCAGAAGAGACCTACACTGGACAGAATGTTCGCTTCGACGTCACAAAGAAATGATGATGGTTTGCGGGCGTCTTACAATATCTCGTTACTCATAGCAAAATCCGGAAAACCGCATACTATCGGAGAGAAATTAATTTTGCCAGCCGTTGAAGAGGTTTTAAGAACTGTTTTACACAAACCTGCATCTGATACCATTAAAAGAATTCCCTTAAGCAACAATACTGTTGAAAGACGTATTGATGAAATGGGTTCTGATATTGAAAGCTTCTTATGTAATTATTTGCAAACGAGCCATTTTTCTATACAACTGGACGATTCAACTCTACCCGATAATGCAGCATTATTATTGGCATATGTTCGTTTCATTATGAATCAAGAAATCTACGAAGAACTGCTCTTCGCAAGAACCTTGATAACCGACACTAAAGGTGAATCAATATTTCATGTTTTGAAGGATTACTTCATTGAAAAAGCAATTCCTTTATCAAATATAATATCAGTAGCTACAGATGGAGCACCTGCCATGGTTCGACGTTATCGTGGATTTATAAGCTATTTAAAACAAAATGTGTCAGGGGTGTTAGCAGTACATGAATACGCGGTTATTTGCGCAGTTGTGTGAAGAAAATGACGAACACTTTCATCAATTACTCCTTCACACTGAAGTACGCTGGCTGTCAAAAGGTTTGACAAGATTTTTTGCACTTTTTGATATAATTTTAGAATTTCTGGATACTAAAGATAAAATTTTAAAAGAAAATTTAATGAAGAGGAAAACAGACATCGCTTATTTAACAGATTTGTTTACAAAATTTAACATGGTTAATTTGCAATTACAAGGCGACAGTTTAAATTTGATTAAAACGAAGTCCATCTTATCAGCGTTTCTAGCCAGAGTTGAACTAATGAAGCAAAATATTGGACGGGGCGAATTTTCTTAGTTCCCCAATTTGTCACACACAAGCTGCCAGGAAGACGACGTTTCAACTTACGTTGAACATTTAAATGCCCTCTATTCAGATTTTGAATCTAGGTTTGAGGATATTTTGACTATGGTAATACCACCGTGGATAATTAATCCATATGATGACATAGAAGGAACGAATGTCATAATACAAGAGGAACTGACTGAACTAAGTACAAACGAAGAACTTAAGGTTCAGTTTAAAAATGGATATCAGCAATTCTGGCTGCAAAACTACATACCCGTTACTTATCCCGTATTATGGAATATAGCGAGGAAATTTTTAATTTCCTTTCCATCGTCATACCTAGTGTCTCACTAAAAATATTGACTTATTGCTTAAGTTATTTTATTTATAGTTTATTTTATGTTTATTGGTGTCTGACCAATAAATGCCCGCATTGGGAATAAGTGCCGCATTGTTTTTTTTAAAGAACCCCCCTTTATAGAAATTATTTTTTTTAAATTATTCTGAAAATTCAAGGATAGGTACACACTAAAATTCGTTAATTTTTTGCCTATTTTTAGATAACTTAAACGTATAAGAAGCGAAATTTAATCAAACTAACAGTGAAATTATTATAGAACATACGTTTATGTTATAATTAATAAACGAACCCGCTTATTGTACTATTTTAAGTAAAAAACTTTTTTTTAATTATTTTTCACTTTATTTAATTTTATCCCTCTTATTTATTTTTCAATGTGGGCACTTATTCCCAATGCGGGCACTTATTGGTCAGACACCTGTTTATTTAATGTCACGTATATTTTACATAACAGATACAAAATTTTATTTTGAGTAGTTTTAATTTAAATTCAATTAATAAATGTATAAATTAACATGTGTTTTTACTTTAAGCTTTTAACACGTCACTACAGTTAGAAGTTTACAGGAAATCAATATCAGGTAAGTAGGGGGTCTACCCAACACGGAAAAACATGGTAAGGGGTCTACGACACAAAAAAGTTTGGGGAACTCTGGTATAAAGTATCATCACATTTTTTTTAATGTATATTGATATCGGTAGGTTTGTCCCTTTTTTAAGTACCCAAGCTTACACGGAGGCAAAACCTAAATACTATAGCATCACCATCCCAGTAACGAAGAAGTAGTCCAGGTCCAGGTTCAAATTATAGAGAACGAGTTTATCTAGCAGACCTAACGGCGAATAGCTCAGATGAACAGTTTCTGTTAGTATATAAGTAGAACATCAAAGGCTCATTAACCGCTCGTGGATGAAAATGCAGTCCAGCATTGTGCGATGAAGAACCATCAATTATGCCAAAATGAAAATCATCAATTAAAGTTACCTTGTATATATTTAGTATAAAGAAACGATGATCGTTATTTATCCTTTGCTTGGCATTCAGTCTTTACTTACTTTTGAATAACTCAATAGATTGAATCGAAAATGCTGACAAGATAGCGTCAAGTAGGTTGTCCCACAATCCATAAGGAATTATTTTCGACATAAATTGGTCCCTATTAGAAAAACACGACAGGAATAACAAAGTAATTAAATGGATCGTAAAATCAGTCCATAGTCCAACAATGCAATCGAGCCTACCACGGGATATCAGTACCGACCCTCCAGCAACGTCACAACACAATCCAGTAATTCAAATGCAAATGAACGGGGAAAGTTTTGGTTTATGGAATATATACAGAAGCATCAAAAAATGGCATATATTATCCCCAACCACCTACAACCCGCAATCAATCTTTTAGACCATGTAAAAGATTTTCTGAAAATAATCAGGAGCATCAGAAAAGTCAAAAAACGAAGTTAAAGCGATTCTATTATTTACGTGTTTTCTACTCCTAGCTTCGTCGCCACTGGCTGATTTTTCTAGTTATAGGCTGCCCAAAGATTAGCGGACAGAAAGATACACCGACAGACAGACCGACGGAAATGAGCCATGATCTTTCGTGATGTGCATGTCATGTAACGTCCAAAAAACGATTACAATAATTTCTCCTCGCCGAGTGGCGTAGAAAGTAAAAAAAATAGTTGTTTGCTCCAAATACGTTTACCCTTATAATCTGCTTCAAGTTCAATAAATTTTTGTCTAGTAATGTTCTATTTGATTTATACCTTCACGGCTATATTGATGCATGGAAGCAAATGGATAATAGGAGGTGCCAAATATGGTGGAAAGGCTGTGTATTCAAGCGATTCGGAATGTAATTGACTGATTTTATCCTTTGTTAGGGTACTTTTCAGAGCAGGGTCATCGATATGGTCATAATAATACTCTGCTGTTATTGTTTTATATAATTGCCTGCAGGTAACCTATCAACAATATTCCTTTTGCATTCCAAAAGATAGACACCACAACCTTTTCAGGCGATATTGATAACTTTGCAGAACAGCCGCTTCGGACCACCATGAGGTTTGATATCGCGATTTATGCTCAGAGTGGTATACCCAAGTATTGTCCATTATGAATCCATGCATAAAATCAGTTTTATCCTTTGCAAGGACGTTGTTGGGAACGTGTCACTCGAATTAGATTTTGATACAAAGATAATGAATGCCGCACCCACCTTGCCAGTAACTTTCTAGACCCTAATTCATTGATCAAAATATGAAACACAAGTCATTCTAGATTTCCAGAAGCTTCAGCAATTTCATACGCAGTCATTCATTCATCATTTAAGACATCGTGTATAGAGTTAACAAATTATCAACAGCAGTTTTCATCACGTGTAAATTCAGTATTCCCATTAAATACTGTTGATCGCGAAGGGGCATCACTTCCTGATACATTCACCATATTAGTAGAAGATGAATTTCGGCACTGTTCAATCCTGCTCTATGAATGTATCAGTCAGTGCATACCTTCGAAGTTTCCCAATTCTCTAAGAAAACACGGTGTTCATCTACTATATGGTATAGCGCTGTAAAAGGAATAATACTTTTCAGATCGGGTTGAAACTATGTCTGGTAGTCCAGGGGAGGATGATAGCGAACCTCGATTCTTGTCATCGTTTGTCACGGTGCTGTTCACATTTGTCAAGTTATTTGATTTTAAGAAGTGAGTTGGCAACAGGTGGTCAATAACGAAGAAAAAATACGTATCTCCTACTTCATCGACAAATTTTGTTGTTTTGTCGAATGATGACGAAATCTCGAATAAGTCATATATTCTCGCATGGACGTAGCTTCTAGAGATTTTGTGGAAAGAAAAATGTCAACTGCGAGATTCAAGGAGGCACTATGACTATATGGATTTGGTACAATTCTGCTTCTCGCATGCGACACTAAACTGAATCCAAATTCAAGATGCGATGTAAATAATAACAGTTAGCGCGTGATCTCTCGGTAACAGGTGGTGACAACGCCTCTTATTGGTCCATTCGCCATTAAATTTCAAGCGGTCGCCTGGCGGAATAATGCGCAGGGCAGGGGCAGGGCAGGCAAAGTTGCATTCAGGCCACCGACCGTAGCGTGTATCACTGCGTGCGCGTGTTTTCGTATTCACCTTGCTTGGTTGTTGCTGCTGTTGTTGTTAAGTGTATTTGAGTAATTTGTTAAGTTTCTGTTTTTTATTGTTATTCCTCGTTATTATTTGTTTTGAACCAATCCTGAACAAGTCCGGTACAGATTCTGCTGACGAGGCTGTAGGCTACCCTTAGCCCTCCTAGAAAGCGATAAAAAAAGACATCGTAGCGTAGACATGAAAGACGTCAGATTGAATACATTCAGCATCTTAATTTCGAATGGAAGAAACGAGGTCGTAACAGCTTACTTATGGATAGAAAAGAAATTGTTCTGTGGAGGAGAGAGTACCTGACCAAAATTAAATCATTTAGGGATCAACACAGGAAGATCTATTACCTGGACGAAACCTGGATTAACGCTGGGCGCACTACTCCGAAGGTATGGGTTGACAAAACTGTGACTTCATCCAGAAGGGCATTTCTAGATGGACTGTCGACCGGATTGAAAAATCTAGCAGGTGAATAGATCGAAGTAGTTCACGGTATCAATTTTTGCGCACAATATCTCTCTATCTTCGTACCTACAAGACGTGTGTGTACTTAACGGATGTTATCTTTCTAGGCAAAGGAAAAAGGCTCATTATTTGCCACATTGAGGGTGTAGATGGCTTCGTGGATGACGGCTTATGGTCTTTTGAGTCAAAAAATACCACTGACTACCATGAAGATATGAATGGGGAAGCATTCGGGAAGTCGTTTTCAGGCATTTTACCACGTCTCGCAGACAATTCTGTGGTTGTTTTGGATAATGCTCAATATCATTCTCGCAAAATCGAAAAAATCCCAACTTCAGCTTCTAGGAAATCAGACATTCAGAGCTGGCTCCGTTCCAAAAATATAACTTTCGACCCTTCCTTACTGAAATTACAACTATTAGATATTGTGAAACAACACAGACCAAGACATGATAAATA